CACCTATGCTGAGACTCGTCATGACGAAAAGGGTTGGGGGATTTCGGCGAAGACGGCTGCTATTAGTCTTGCGCTATGGCAACCTTCATTCTAACACTAGAATCCAGATACCTTCTGTTCGAGACACTTTCGAACCAGAATGGCCTGCAAAGTTTGGGTATTTAATAGATAGCCTAACTAAATTTCGTCGCTATATCTGGACAGGGCAGGGGTGGCAAGGCCAAGGCGCGTGGGAACGGCTGCTCTCTCTCGTCTCTCTCTCTCTCTCTCTCTCTTCTCTCTCTCTTCTCCTCTCTCCCTGCTGCTCTCTGTCTCTCTCTCTCTCTCTGCTTGCTCTCTCTCTCTCATCTCTCTCGCTCTCTCTCTCTCTCCTCTTCTCTCTCTCTCTCTCTTCTTCCTGCTCTTTCTCTCTCTCTCTCTTCCTTCCTCTCTCTCTCTATCTCTCTCTTCTCTCTCTCTCTCTCTCTCTCTCTCTCTCTCTCTCTCTCTCTCTCTATCTATCTATCTCTCTCTCCCTCTCTATCTATCTCTCTCTCGATCTCTCGCTCTCTCTCTCTCTCTCTTTCTCTCCCCTCTCTCTCTTCCTCTCGTTCCTGATGCGACTGCCTCTACATGAATGGTTCACGTGAAACGTGCCGACAGCCCAGCAAAATTCACGCGAACGCGCGCGTCGTGTGTTCCCGGTTCGAACTATATACTGAGAAAATAGTTTAACTAACATATATGGCATAACAGATATATAAAATAGTTAACAGAACTGATATAACACATAGTATATGAATAAAATTCTGTATAACATCCCAAGATTAATTCCCCTGTAATAATTAATGGAGCAACAATGGTATCAATTTCATACGTGCGAGAAGATCTTGATGTGTGATAACGGGGATGACAAAGTTCACAATTTGTATACGCGTGGTTTATGCATACAGGGTACAGGAGCGAACCGAATAAGAGACGTGCACCGTACGCGTATTTACCATTTCGAATTTTATTAAACTTTTATGCGCACGAATAAAGTAGTCACCGCGCCGAACTTTATCTGCGGCTGATCAATATGCGGGAGAGAAATATTCGCTTGTTCATTTCAATTGTTTACTATATTCGCGGTTTATCAGCGAGCGTGACACCACAGTTAATTTTTCAGTGTTGACGCGCTTGCCTGGCAACAGTCGCGTACATACGTGGCAACCAACACAATCGGTACACGAAGTGAATTAGTATACGATACGCTGACAACTTACGTACAGGGAGAGAGAGAGAGAGAGACAGACAGACAGACAGACAGACAGAGAGAGAGAGAGAGAAGAGAGGAGGAGAGAGAGATGAAGAGAGAAAGAGAGAAAAGAGAAAGAGAGAGAGAGAGAGAGAGAGAGAGAAAGAGAGAAAGAGAGAGAGAGAGAGAGAGAGAGAGAAGAGAGAGAGAGAGAGAGCGCGCGCGAGAGAGTAAGAGAGACATACACACATACGCATCGCAATCGGTGCATTTATCTACCTTTATCACCTGTTGGCGTGCATCATCATTGTCAATTCATACTAGGCAAAGGCGTTTCATTGTCGACTACACGCACAGCAAGAGACACCACAAGCTACTCTCAAGGATGGGTAAAGAACGCGACCACGCACCGGAGAGGCAGGCCGACGGCAACTGGTATAAGCCGGCGACGGAATCTATCGGCGAGGAGACCGGTCGCGGCGACATGACGGCAGCGACACACTGCGCGGGCGTGAGAGAAGACACTGATAGAAGGCGCATGTGCGAACCACCGCTGGCCTTTATCGTTAAGATGGAGCAAAGCGACAAGCACAGCTTCTCGCAACACGACAACCGGCACGCATTACAAGTGCGAAACGAAATATTATATGACATTGTAGGAGTTAGATCCATAATGAAGTTATAAAAGCTTACACTGACGAAATTTTCGTCTATCACCGATAGACTTCTTCAGGTCTGACGTTTCCAGTTAGATGGCAGCACTGGAAAGAAAGTGTTCGTTTTTATAACTTTATTATGAATCTAACTCAGATTAACTTTATTTTCCTGTGAACTATAGAGATCCGATGAAATTTTTCAACCATAAATGACATTTTGTTTTATTTTTTATACCACTATTACGGCTGTGCATGGTTTAACGGTCGAATCATATCCCAAGGTCCGTCTGGTGAAATACTTGCATCAACAAAATACACAAATCATTGTGTTGGAGATATATAAGCACTGAGTCGCTATTATAAAGAGAAGTTAAACTTATATTATTTATATATAATTATATATATATATATATATTCATGAAAAGTTGACAGTTTTCGATGATTTTATAAAGCCGCATTTGCAATAATGATTCAATTTGTAGAGATTCATTTGTGATAATTACTTTATACAAACAACGTTGTTTGGCTAATGTAACCTGGAATCAAGAGCCGATGACAGTTTTTATAGATTCATATATCAACGTGATGTTTTAAAGATTTATACTAGAACGCATGCAAATTCATCGCAGAAATGTATCCCGTAATATATCATAACAACAGCCACACCAGTATTCTGCTGAAGCATATAATGCACACGCGCGCACATTTGGACGCTTACCCAAACGATCTCTGGCTTCCTGCCACATTAGGGTCACGGAGAGTACTTTGGACACGGATTGGGGAAGAAATTAGACAGACGGCAAACGCAATCTAGTCATGTCATTGTACCTGTGAATCCAGCGACTGCTGCGATGACCAGTACCTGCCACTCTGTGTATCAACCCGTCGATACGACAAAAGGTAAGTTTGAAGCATCTAGAAATAGCAATTCACCAGCGAACGCTATCGTGTACGGTCATGTAATTCTAGTAGGGCCTATTGAATGTAGCGCGTAGATGTAACACTGCGATAATACACTATTAGAGACCGTCATTATTGATACGGCCTCGTTAAATAAACACACGCACACACACACACACACACACACACACATACACACACGCACACGCACACGCACACACACACACACACACACACACACACACACACACACACACACACACACACACACACACACACACACACACACACATAGCATCAAATGCGAATAACACAATTATATTTTATTATTTATAGTAGTGTAGTAGCATTGATTTTTGATTATATGTCTCATTAATAAAGATTTTAATTAATTATATACGTGATGTAATTATATATTCATCTTATTATTTGGTCCCATTATTATTGTTGTTTGCCACGTGAGCGCAAAATGATATGTCGCATCCTTTATCGTGGTAAAAATAAAATGTAGATGTCGCTGGCTCAGAAAGATCAGTCGTTAATTCTCTTGAACTGATGAACGTATCGGTGAGATATTTTTAATCTTGTTTAACACCATAAGCTAATAATATCCATTTAGTGCATCACGTGATAAATCGTTGAAATTCCATTGGATAACGTCGCAGGTACTATGCTTGCGCCGCACGCCAGATTGTTAATGTAACGCATAATGTGTTTACGTCACGAATTCTCCTGCCCGCTCCTGGGCGCCCACGCAAGAGTTTCGAATTAATGGCGGATTGCTGTTTTGTGCTCGAGGCGTTTTTTGCTTACATCGAATGCACCGCGCATGTAGGGAGTATAAGCAGGTATATAAGCATGAAAAGCTCTAAACAGGAAACCACTAATATGTATATTTTTCTACATTTTATTTCGGCTACAAATAACACACAAATTTACTACTTGCTGGGGGCTAGAAATTCGTGACGTTAGACATTTAATACAAATTGAACATTGCCTTAGTTTAAGAACTTTGTCTTAATTCACTTCATATCCTTGGCCCCCCCCCCAAGTAGCCATTGAAAAGTCATGCTGATGCCACTAACAACACCAGTTAATGCCTGTTGTTGCCGGGCCCATAATTGCTGTCATTCCCCCCCCTCCCCCCCCCCCCCCCCTTAGTGTTGCTGAGGGAAGGTATAGTGCCCCCAACAACAGGCATTAATATATAAATAGTTTTATTTCCCTAAGCAGCGATCCCACTATTTCTAAGCACTAACTAAAGAGAATGCCACATTATTGTTACTAAAGAGTGAAACGTCATTCTATATTTATGATGTCTTATTTTTTATTATTATGTCTATTAGCAATTAATAGTGTTCGAGCCTTAGGTATAATACTTAAACTTATGATAAAAATGATTTTACACTAGTAGTTATGAAGGTGTGTTGTACGTTTGAACCTAATCTGACCATCACTAATATATTTATGTGCAAATTAAATAATTATTCATTCATTAATTAAACATATATTAACTACATCTTAACGAAAATCTTAACATTAACATATTGCGCAATATTTTGCATATATAATGAGAAAGCACAGCACCAACCATCGATTGCATATTGTGCCATCCCCTTTCTCCGCCCCTTTCGCTCTCTTCTCTCCCCCTTTCCCTGTCGCTGCTGTTGTGTGTGTGTGTGTCTTGGTGTGATGTGTGATGTGTTGTGTGTGTTGATGTGTGTGTGTGTGTGTGCTGTGCTGATGTGGTGTGTGTGGTGTCTGTGTGTGTGTGTGTGTGTGTGTCGTGTGTTGGTGTGTGTGTGTGCTGTGTGTGTGTGCTGTGTGTTGCTGGTGTGTGATTGTGATGTGGCTCCCTCACCCGTCTATAACGTCAGAAACGCCGTGCGCGCCCCGCATAGTCACTCCCGAGCCAACTAACCCGTGTGTGCGTGTGCGGGGCCGTGTGGCGTGCACGGTGGTATGCGTAATATATATATATATATATATATATATGCCGATGCCCGTTTTGCTCTTCAAAAACTTCCTTTCATATAAAACTCGACATTAATATCTGAAGTCGACTAGGGCGTCGGTTAGGCTGGCTGATCTGTCAGCGCAGACGTCGACGTGCCACTCTTGCCTCTTGGGCCCTCGCCTTGATGCTGCTGCTGATGATGATGATGATTAACTATATGACGATTTTTCGCTAAATTTGCATCATGCAATTCTGCTGAAAGTCGGATGTGATAAATAACGCGACCGGTTGCAAAAATTTAGAAATTCTTGGGAGATGAGGCAATAGTGTTTGCACCTCGGCCGCCTGAACACATCCACGGTTTGAATGTGAGCTTACGATGACGGCTGCTGCGGCTGCTGCTGTGCTGCTGCTGGCGGTGGTGTTGAAAGGCGATGTCTGTTGCTCTCGTATGTTCTGTGACGCCGCTTGTACGATTAATATATGATGTAGTGTGAATTACTCTTGTTTAAATCTGTGTGATGCATGACAACGGCGGGAACGCGTACTCTTTAAACAAAATAGTGCTTACATGTGTTGGTTAAATATGCACGTTATTTTCGTAATTTATTTCGCCTTTTTTTTATTAATAATCGACTCTGTATATCTAACGCCGCGAATCGTCTTTCACGTCTCGTATTCTGTCGCTTTGTTTTGAAATATTAAATGAGTAAACCTATGCTCATACATTGGCTTCTAAAACTAAAAATGATTATTTTGTAAAATCTATATTATTTAAATATCTAGTTAACTGTAACATAACTGATTACAAGTAGGTGTAAAAATTTGCACATCAGCCCGCAATGATATCGGGTTTAATCTCGTCGCAATATTCCGAAGATATGAATGAATCGTTAGAAATGTCTCACCCGACTTTGCGTGCGTGTATGCAGGCCACAGCGTCGAGCCCCCGGTGAGGAGGAGGTTTCCACGGACCTACCCTCCCGCAAACCCACAGATACGTTCTCCCGCCACGCAGACAGTCGCATGGAGCTTTCCCGACAACGTTGCCTATAAGACTCCGCTGCACGTGATGTCGGCGACGCAGGAACCATTTCTACTGCCGAACAAATGGAAGTACTGAGAGAAGAAAGATGGCGCTGATCCGCGTCGCGGAGTCGTCTGCACGCGACATGTGATCGGTCCTCACCCTGAAATTGAACTCTAAACAAATATATACAAGCTTTTTCGCGCAAACGCTCGAGCGAAAACAAATCTCTTTGGTGAAAACAGTGCAAATTATATCTGTAAGTAATAAAAATGTTTAATAATGGTCGAGAAAATGATTCATTGTTCGCGCTTCGTATTCTAAATGCTGCTGCTGGCGGCGAGCGGTGTATAATGTTGAATTTAAAAACATGACACACACGCACAGGCACGGCGAAGGCATACGCACACACACGCGCGCGCATGCGAACACACACACACAAACATACAAACAAAAACACATACATATACACACTCACACACACACACACACACACACACACACACACACACACACACACACACAACAAACAAACAAACAAACAAACAAACAAACAAACAAACAACAACACACACACAACATACACACATATATATAT